ATATATCCAATAAAATTAACAAAAAAAGAAGTGATTGGGAAAAAAGAATAATAGTGTCAATAGATTAAAGAAAGTGATTTGAACTTAAAAAAAAAGACAGGCCTGTCCTGGAAATATTCATGGGTCAAACTGAAAATATTAGAGTCATCAAACAAAAATGTTCTGTCATCTCATTTCTTTTCATTAACCAATTCTTTTTAATTTCACAAATAACTATCATCCCAAAGTAACATGTAAACACACCTCTACACTGCTCAGTGAATTCTTTCCAACTTCTATAACAAACTAGATTTTATTAGATCTAGTATGTGACTTTCATGAGAGTTAGTTTCACTCATTACTTTTACTGTATTACTGATACAGCAAAGAGGGCAATTTTTCACTGTTGGATTTATTTAAAGCAAAACGACAGATCCAAGTACCTGTCTTCAGAAGTCCAGCAGCATTTTTTAAAAACACACTCAAGATTTGGCCTAAGCCCTTAATACTTTCCCGAATAGCCATGCAACTGAACACCCTCCAGAGATGTTACATAGGGGAGAACATGGAGCAATTTTCATATTTCTCCTGGATCATAGAAATAAGGTGAAGCAAATTCACCTTTGTGAATGAATAGCTGCCATGTTTAATACACTTGGAGCTCTATAAAACTAGAGCCACTATCATATATGTTTATATAGATATATATGTATTTATTTTTAATAAAGTCTCTCGCTTCAGAATTTAAGGATGACCTTTTTCCTGGTCATCATTTCAAGGGAACAATAAATGAAGTAGAAAACAATCAACTGTTTTTGCATACTTCTGTGAAAGGATGGAAAATGTTTATGCTTTGAGAGGTTCAGACAATTCACTGTACAGAATGAACAGCTTATGTACACTATCTGTGCAATTTTTCTCAGTTGGGGTATTTAAATGCAATTGCTCCTCCAAGACAAGAAGCCACATTCATTCTTTTTTTTTTTTTTGATCATTGAATAGTTTATTTATTTTCAATTTTTTGCAAATCCATCATGCTGATTTCCATGGCTATGCTAACTCAGATTCAGATTCAGACCAATATAAGAGTTTCTATTTCTCCATATCCTTACCAATTTTTTCTTTTTTATAATGGACATTCCAATTAAGCTAGGGTGATATTTCATTGTGATTTTATTTGCATTTTCCTAATGATTATTGATGTTGAATGATTTTTCACCTACCTCTTCTCCTTTTCTATGTCTTCTTTTGAAATGTCTATTTATGTCTTTTGATAATTGTAAAATCAGATTATTATTCTTATTTTTTCTATTGAGTTGAGTTCCTTATATATTTTTAATATAAATTCATTTTCAGACTGATAGTTTGCAAATATTTTCTCCTAATCTTTAGATTCGCTCTTTACTTTGATGGTTTCCCTTGCCATTCATTATTTTTTATAAAAAAAAATTTTTTATACCAGGGATTGAACTCAGGATCTTGCACTTGTGAGGCAGGCAGCAGAACCACTGAGCTAGATCCCCAGCTGTTTTTTTTTTTTTTTTTCACATACATTCTTATACTAATTCCTCTGTCTCTTCTATTGCAAAAAGAAGTTTTTCCTTTAGTTTTTATAACTCTGACATGGTGGTACATCCAAGCAATTAAAACATGTATGTCTTCTTGGTAACCAGGTATCTTTCCCAACTGTTTTTATAAAAAATTTTTGAGGCCCATTATTTTCCATGAGCTCAGCAAATCCTCCTAGAGGTAAGTGGCAGGTTCCAGTGTCTGTCATCTCATTTCTGAGATTTCCCCACTACACAGGGTTATAAGTTTATGTACATGCGTCCTTATATCCAAATTACAAAGATTTCTAAGCTATGATGCGCTTGGCAAGGTGGCCCAAGCCCTTCAAATGAAAATGTGCTCCTTAACTTCATGTGACAGCTACTATGTAATAACTTCAGACTAGAGTCAGAGTCTGACTTTTAAAAGATTTTAAATTGATTTGATAAACTGCAGCCCAAGCTTCCTCTAGGTCCCTAGAGAGCATCCATGTGAACTTAGACCCTCAGCTATGTTCCCAAGCTCCATGTTAGCCCTTAACGACTTCTGGATATTTCCTGATTCATTCAGAGAAGCCAACTGTTACTTACACCACAGTGATCTAAGTAAGCACTAACCCTAAAGAGTGTGGGCACCTTAGTTTTTTCTCCTGTGATTCTAAAATGAGCTAATTTTTCTAAAAAGATGAAAAGGGGATGAGGAGAGACTACAACATTTTGTCATGTGGTCTGTCGTATGATTGAGAAAGAAAACTGACCTCAAACTCCCCAAGGATAATGCAAAAATAAATTCTGCTGACCTGCCAGACACAGAAGTAGCCTGTTTCTCTGTGTCTAACTTCCAAAGGGCTGGGAAAGCTGGAGGACGGCTCCTTCCCTGACTGCTGTTTGCAGTGCAGGAAGAAACCCCAAGTGAGATCCCTCAGCCCCTCAGGCAACAGCATGGCTACAGGGCCTCTTCACAGGTCCCTCCACAGTGCCCCAGTACTCACTCAGGGTCCTGACAGTGTCGCTGGGCTGGCTGCGTGGACCGGGACCGTGGGGGTTCACAGCCCTCACAGAAAACTGGTAGTTGGTATCTGGAACAAGGCCCTTGATGATGATGGTGTCCATCAGGAAATGCTCTTGGATTAAGGTCCAATTCTTGTCAATATCTGGCCTTTATTGATTAAAAAGAAAGGAAGAAGCAGTAGTTCAGAAATACCATGGGGAAAGGAAGCTAGCTAGCTGTGTGAACTAATAGCATTTGAACAGCAATATTCATAAAAATGAGTTACAATTTTCTATCTTAAAATAGCCCTGAATTTAAATCATTGGTCATCATCTGTAAATTCCTGCGTATAGAAGCAAGTAGATCATTTTCAGGGCTAATTTTGAGCACTGTTTAGAAATCATACAATTTTCCTGGCAAAGCCTTGACCGTGGTGAATCCCTCCTCCCGCACAGGAGAGTTCATTTTCAAGGACTGTGCTTTCCAGATGTTTCATAAACAAGCCTCTCTTTGGCAGTCCCATCCACAGAGGTCAGGGGAGCACAGACTCCATCTATTCACAATCTGTTCACAAATAAACAAATACAAGTTTTATAGGGTGAGTAATTGTACAAACCGCCATGGGAAAGCCCGAGAAGAATCTGTTCATGGACATTCTCACATTTAACAAATTACACATTTGTGTCAAATTGCTGAGTTTTCCATGTCCTTCCTAGGATCCTAAAGAAAAGTAAACTTTCATTTAGGGATTCTCCCAACAAGGCAATATACAGAGGGTAAGAGTACAAGCTCTGGAGTTGGACAGAGCCAAGTTCAAATCCTAGCTCTGCTAATTACTAGGTGCTACTTAACTTCCTTAAGTCTGTTTTCCCATCTATAAAATGGGAATAATAAAAGTACCTACCTAAGAGGATTGTCATAAGATTGAATGAAGCACACCATCAGCATAGTGCCTGACACCACACTGTAAATACTCCGCACATGTATAAACCATTATTTAAATGCTGTGACCAGTGGAAACCCATAGCTGCCTGCTTTCCCCATACGTTGTCTCACCCATACAGTACCTCAGACCCCACAAGGGTAGTCAGCACCAGAATGTGGCCACTCTGCATGAAGATGTACTATAAGTATAAAATGTACACTGGATTTTAAAGGAAAAAAGAAAGGTATTTTAATGACAAATTTCATATTGGATACCTGTAGAAATTATAATGATTTAGAAACACCAGGCAACAACAGTTTACTAAAATTAATTTCACTTGTTACCTTTTTGTAACATGGGAAAACACAGCTTTTCAAATAGGCTTGCATTTCATCTATTGGCCAGCACTGCTCTATATGGGGCTGGGGAAGGGGAGAAGAGCATCATGGGTGCTAAGAACTGTAAGATGAAAGGTGGAAATGTTGGTACATAGCTGAGGGACAGTGTGAGTTCATAACTAATCATGGTGACCACTTTTAAGGCTTTCAAAGCACCAAGTATTTTTCTTTTGACAACTATCATATTCAGTTAGTACTAATATGAAGGCCCCACTCCATTGCTGTTATTTTAATACAGAGAAGAAAAACAAGGCACTGAATAGGTAAGTCCCCTGTCCCAGATTACGTAGCTGAGGAATGGAATGACTAACTGGGGTTGATGGGATGAGATTAGATTAAGAATATCCTTAATATTAGATTTTAAAAACCCAGGGTAATGGGGGGGCTATTCTCTCTTCTTTATCTTGCTTCCTGGATGCCTCTCAATTGTTCCATTAACACCTCTGTTTATGTAGGGTATTTAGAGGAATGCAGGAAGCTCATGTTTGTCCTTTACCAATGACTTAGGCAAGGAAATCAAGCTTGTTTATGCTAAAAACAGGTGCCTGGCTGAACCAGAGATTTCTTTAATATGTGCTTGCCTGATTTTTCATTAGGAGGAATTATTGAAATCCCAGTAAACAGATGCTTCCTCAGGCTCACCAGGCTGAGAAGTTTTCTGGGCTGTGCCTCATAAGAATTCAGGCTCTGGGAAAAAGGAGAGTTCATGGGGCGTGTCCACTGGAGGGGAGAGGGCCTGCTTTCTCTTTCCTGATACTCTTTCCCTAAAGATGGACTTCTCATGTAAACAAACTTTGTCATCAAAGGGAAAACCTCTGTGAGCAGAAGGAAACACATTTACAAACTCAAATTAGAACAAAATCACTTTGCAAAGGAAAGCCACAGGGGATACCAAAAAGTAAGAAAAGATGTGATCTTCAGATAAAATGCCCTGGTTATCCTTTGCTAAGCTTCCCCTGCCATATTTATAAAGGAAATGACCCATATCTGTTCTCAGAATGTACTGCTGTTTACCCAGGGCTACCTGCAAGTATCTTCAACAATTTTCAGTAAAAAGTTATAGGGAAAAAAGGGAGTTTTTAAAGTTTTTTTGTTCATTTGATGCAGGAAAGAAAATTATTTTCAGTGAATAGGAGATTGACATCATTAACATTTAATTTCATTACATAGAATAAGAGAGAACTCATGCAGACTGAATACCAGTTCAAAACCTCTAGCATTTTGCCCCTAATCCTGCCATGAGTTTTCCATTTGAATGCTTTTCAGATCTCTTGAGATTAGAGAGTGAAAAGTTGAGGTTGTGAGGGAGATAACCAGGCAAAAATATTGTGTTAAATCATCATCCACAGTAGCTTTATCTTCTTTGAAGATAAATGAAAAATCATTTCATCCTAACTGCAAAGTTGCCTGTAAAAATCACCATGGCAACACTGTTCTGGCACCTCAACAATGAGAAGGCCTGGGTCAGGAAATGACTGAGAATGTGTGGCCATCCCAGGTAGAGATGGACAGCCACCAGCAGGATGCTCACTTCAAGCATCTTTCCAAGTACAGCTGTGGGGATAGGGTTGGGTCAGGCATCCTATATTTTAGAATGAGCAGGGAATTTATCATGAGTTTGCAATAGCTACTCAAAATCCATTTAGTCAATTTAACTAATCAAGGTGCATTCGCTGGTTAATTTTGAAGCACTTACCATTTAGCAATGGTAGGATGCAGCCTGATCATCAGGACTGGGTGGAATCTCAGTTATCATTTGACCTAAGTCTGAGAACTTCTGGAAATTACTTACTTCATTTTTCTAAGTAAAGTCTCTTTAGCTTTTTTCCAATTCTTTTTTTTTTAATTTTATTGAGTTTATTGGTACATTTTAGGGATACAGTACAGTTACATTCATTGTTGGGATCATGTACCTCTACATGGCAAGTCTTGATTCTCATTTTTTCCCCTTACCTCTGCCCTCCCTTCACCCCCTCCTCCCCTCCCCATCTACAAACACTTTATTTTCATCTTTTAATTCTCTCACATTTTTTTCTTTTCCCTTTTTTTAAAGATAATCATGATCTCAAAGCTCTAAGAGCCACTGATCTATGTTAATCTTTATTCTGTATACATGGACACAGAAGGAAAGTGTTTATCCAAACTCCCAAAACCACTTAAGTAGTATATCCTTCTGTTTTATTCCCCTTGTTGTAGTATTATGACTACCTTGCATATTGTTAATATAAATCTGAGTGTACAGCCGTTTTTCTTGGTATCATCAAATCCAGCAGGTGGACATCTTGAACTAGTCAGTTAACAAACAATTAACAATTACCAAGCAGGCATAGACCAAAGAAGTTATATTCTGGGAGGCTCCTACAAAGTATAAACACAGCCCATTGTCACAGAGTTAATTGTCTAATAACACCATCTAAGGATGAGTGCAAGGATAGAACCTCAGCTGCCTGCCTGCCTGAGATCACCCGGCGGGTGCGCAACCTCCCGGACTGCGCAACAACAGATTCAGTAAGGAAGGTAGCCGCGCTGGCACCCTTGAAACACTCCCACAACCTTCCACCCCCTCCGTTCTCAAACTTCCTGATTGGGCCAGTCCTTAGACCAACTCTGCAGAGGCATAGGTTCTCATGAAGGGTAGTTTTCTGAGCTCCCAACTTTGAACATCTTTAAAGAAAGGGCAGGGGAAACCTGTAATAGAACTGAGTGGAGATCAACCCTGAGGGTAGGGAAACTCAAGTTAGGCCGTGTAAACTGTGTTCAGTCTCAGTCGTGGGGAACTGCCATTGGCTAGCTGAGACCAGGGGATTCAGTTCTGTATATGGCTGTACATGTGGTATAATATGAGAAGAGAGACAGTCTGAAAGAGGCCCTTCAAATTCTTTTTTTTTTCTTTCTCTCTCTTTTTTCTTTTCCTCATTCCACCCTAAAATTTCTTTCTTTTTCTGTCCTCTCTCTCCAACTCAGTCTCTTGCTCCACCATATTGTCCCTCATCTCCCTTTTTATTCCGGCTTCTGCCCTAACTCAGACTTCTTCTTTTATTATTTTTTCTCTTTAGGAGGGGTTTCTCTTTATGTTCTTTTCTCCAGTCATTTTACTTCATTCATGGCTCTGTACCTTCAAGGGAAGGCAAGTGCCTGTTATTGTTAAGGGGATATATTCTTGTCCTTATTCCTGCACTCTCTCTATCCCCCCTGAAGTTAATAGCTTTGTAAAGATACTAAGGTAATTCTACATCCTCTGGATTCACTTCAAACCTGCTCCAATTCTTTCCTTTATCTAATCCTCTCTTTCTAAGTCTAAACCCCCATCCTAAATGGTAAAAAATGCTATATTGAAAAGCATATTCACTGCAAACATATTATGGGCTGCTTCTTGAAATTAATTTAATTCACATGAGTTAAAGGTGATACATTAATGACTACCACAAGTGGTCAGTTTGCAAGCTGTGCCTGATCCTATTGGGCTGCTGAATGTATCAATTGGGATAAAGGG